TAGGTAAAAATGTGAGTGTGTAACCGATGTGATTCTGCAATTTGTATTTGGGGTAAAAATGGGAGTTCATAACCCAATTGAGTCAAATGTATGAAAGATGATATATCATGAGCTTTGTAATGTTTTGAACAACCAATAAAAAAATATAAAAAAAAAGAAAAAGAGTAGACATGTGAAAGATAATATCAGGCTTTTTTTTTAATTACAACACTTCTAATGTACTGTGAACACTACTAATTTATACTTAAAATTATAAATTAAAAGTTATTTATATTTGAAAAATATAAATTATAAATATGGAGTTATTTTTCTGCTTTGCTAGACCTGAAAAATAACAAATTATAGAGACATCAGAAGCTTGGAAAAAAGTTATATATTAATAAGTACAATTAGACAATGTTCAAAAGTCAAGACAGTTAGCTTTTTTTTTTTTATTTTTGAGTTTTCTATTTAATATTTTCAAACTGCTATTAACCACAGGTAACTAGAACCTAGAAAAGGAATTTGTGAATATTGGGAGACCATGGTACAGATTCAGAGGATATAGAAGATTTAGAAAGTAGAATTGATCTGATTTGATAATTAGTTAAAGTAGCATTAGGAAAGGGGATTATTTTCAATAATTTGCCAAACTTGGGCAACTGAATATAATAGATGATGGTGTCATTCCCAAAATAGGAATAGAGTGTTGAGAAATACTTTGGAGGGTATAACACTGTGCATTTGAGTTTAGGGCATTGAGTTTGAATTGCCTTTGTATTATCTCGTTGAGTCTTGTAATAACTAGATGAAATTGCCTGGTAGAGAGAGGAATCTAAAGATGTAGCATTATGGAGAGAAATCTGTACTGAAGATGTATATTTACAATCATTAATATATCATAAAGTAATGTGAGATGGGGACTAAGAATGGGAACATTGCTGTTTAAGTAACAAAGGAAGAGAAGCCTTCAGTATAGTGAAAAGGAATTGATGCTTGGGTTCAATGGACTTGGCAGCCATGATAGTGTCAAGGGAGTGGTATTTATTGAGGGAAGTTTGGTTTAGAGAAGTTAATGGAAACTAGTGTTGGAGCACACATTTGGAGCACTTGCCTATTACAGTAAGTAGAAGGGGAAGTAGATCAAAGAGATTTGAATATATTTACATGTTAAGAAAGGAAAGCATATTATAAAGCAGGAGAAACTGTCCCTGAGATTAATTACAGTGTGAAAATTAATTTTTGCTAAAGGTGTAGTTTCCTTTGTTCAAATCAAAGGAATTAAAAATACTGCAGATTCTTAATAAGAAAACAAACTTAAGCTAAATACAAGCATAGTTTGCACAATGAAAACTAAAAGAATTAGGGCTGGGGATGTGGCTCAAGCGGTAGCGCACTCACCTGGCATACGTGTGGCTCGGGTTGGATCCTCAGCACCACATACAAAGATGTTGTGTCCGCTGAAAACTAAAAAATAAATATTAAAAAAATTCTCTCTCTTTAAAAAAAAAAAAACTAAAAGAATTAATGACATTATCTTACTAGCTAACAATTTCTGTAAGTTTCTCCTGTCAGAAACCTGTATTTGAATTGCTATCATTAATTATAAGTAAGCATATAATGCCTCTTTACCCATATTTAAATAATCTTTTTTTTTATTTTGTTAATAGATTCCTAAAAAACTACTGTGTTGCTTTAAGGAACAAAAATACATGAATAAGCCAGTTCAAAGTGTATTTATTCTTCTTATTTTTATTTTCAGACTTTTAAGAAGAAGCCAGACCACTTCCCATTCTTCTTTAAGTGCATCTTGAAAGCAGCATTAGCTGAAAATGATGGTGAATTTTCACTCCATGAACAGACAGTCCTATTGCTTTTTCTTGATCATTGCTTCAATAGTTTGGTAATTTTACTTAATGTTTTAGGGAAGCTTTCAAATTTTCTTGTTGAGTTTAGATGTGATTATCTTTGTGGCCATCTTTTCACACAAAAATGTGGGGAATAAAAATAATGCTAAAAGCTTGATTTAAATCACATCAATAAAATAATTTTATAAATTTTGTTCACTTTTTAGTAGTTTATACTTAATCCTTTATTTTTTATTATTGTTCACATTTTTAGTAGTTTATACTTGATCCTTTCTTTATTTATTATGTAGACTTTAAGAAAAATGATAATGAGAGCTGAAAATTCAAAGGGTGAACACAAAAATTAGTCTGACTAGTATGAACTTTTTTTTTGTTTTTGGTACCAGGGATTAAATTTAGGGGTACTCAACCACTGAGTCATATCCCCAGCCCTATTTTGTATTTTTATTTAGACAGGGTCTCACTGAGTTGCTTAACACCTCACTATTGCTGAGGCTGGCTTTGAACTCGCAAGTCTCCTGTCAGCCTCCTGAGTAAGCTGCTGGAATTACAGGCATACGCCACTATACCCAGCTGACCAGTATGAACTTTTGATGAAATCTGTGCCACAAACTGCATGCTAAAAGTTTCAGTACTTTTTAGTCTTTATGCTCAGGCTGGCTCATCAGCAAGAGGGTTGTATTTTGAGTTGACTGTTGAAGGACAATAGTGGATGGTCTTTGGAAATGTGTGTGATAACTTTTCATCCTTTGCAAGATTATCTTCTAAAAAATGAAATATTTCATTTGATCTTCCCTTCTGTAGTTATCCAAAGGCATATCCATATTTAATTATGTATTTATTTTTAAAATTTATTCATTCTAATTAGGTATATATTACAGCAGAATGCATTTTGATTCATTGTACACAATTGCAGCACAAATTTTTATTTCTCTGGTTGTATACAATGTAACATTGTACCATATGTGCAGTCGTATGTGTACCTAGAGTAATGATGTCCATCTCAATCCACCATGTTTCCTGTCCCCATACCCCCTCCGCTCTCCTACTTCCCTTTTGTCCAATCACAGTTTCTCCATTTTCCCATCCCCCTGCCACCATTGTGAATCAGCATCCACTTATTAGAAAGAACATTTGGCCTTTGGATTTTTGGGATTGGCTTACTTCACTTAGCATGATAATATTCTCCAACTCTGTCCATTTACCTGCAAATGCCATAATTTTATTCTCTTTTATTGCTGAGTTATATTCCATTGTGTAGATATACATTTTATTTGTCCATTCAACTATTAAAGGGTATCTAGGTTGGTTCCATGGTTTGGCTATTGTGAATTGAGCAGCTATAAACATTGATGTGGCTATGTTACTATAGTATGCTGATTTTAAGTGCTTTAGGTATAAACCAAGGAGTGGGATAACTGGATCAAATGGTGGTTCCATTCCAAGTTTTCTAAGGAATCTCCATACTGCTTTCCAGATAGGTTGCACCAATTTGCAGTCCCACCAGCAACATATGAGTGTGCCTTTTCTCCCACATCCTCACCAACACTTACTGTTTGTATTCTTGATAACTGCCATTCTGACTAGCATGAGATTAAATCTTAGAGTAGTTTTGATTTGCATTTCTCTAATTGCTAGAGATATTGAACATTTTTTCATATATTTGTTGATTGATTGTGTATCTTCTTATGAGAAGTGGTATATATTTATATTTAAACATAAATGTTTTTGTATTGGTAATGCACTTAGAGCCTTTCAGGAGAATGCATAGAATTCTTTCTTATCCAGAAGATTGGTTGATGGATGATTATTGCTTGTTTCTATGTATTGCTTCACTCTGATCTTGTAAAGGCATATAGAAAAGAATGATGGTACCCCCAATAGATACCGATTTTGCCTCTTTAATGTTAATTAAACAGAGCAAATAGAAATATAAGTAGACATAATTTTTTATGAGAAATTAAACAAGAACAAGGTTTAGTTAGCAGTAGTTTGTGCTGGTTTTAAGCCAATTTATAATGAAAATGTTTTTTCAGTATGCTGTGAACTTTCTTTATTTGAAGCAGTTACATTTGTTCTATAAAATAACTGAATCCTGAGTAAGCTAATAATGAACCCTGGCTCCTAGAGGAAAAGTAGGGTTAGGTTCCTGCAAGTCTCTGGTTGCAGCATTTTTTTTTCAAACTATCAGTGCATAACCTTATTTTATATGTGTGTGTCTGTTAAAGGCATCTTATTAATACATATTTTTGATTCAGTAACCTTATTCCTGAGTGAGCTATCCCTCAGGTTATTCCTCAATGGGTTTATCTAGCAAACATGGAGAAAGTACAAAGAAAATGCCTTATTGAACATTAGAAGCACTTCAGTTTTGTTCTTGGAGATTCATTTTAAACACTGAAATCACCAATGAAAAGCCCAATAACTCCCCAAAAGTAGCACTAAATAGATTGCAAAAAGGATACTTGTTTGTAGTATGAGAAGTGAAATTCAAATAGGGTCATCTCAGCCTTAGCTAGGTATGTACATATCAGGTAACTCAAAATTTTTGAGGCTCTGTGCTATTGATTTGGGATTTATAAATTTTTGTGAGTAGGTGAATTTGAAGATATGAAATCAGTTAATAATGAAAACTGTTGTTTAGAGTATTGAACTTTTTAAAATATTAAAATATCACTAATTTACAAGTATTGGTGCCATGTTTTCCCCTCAGGACTTAAAAAGCCATAATATTCCCTGTATAAAGATTCAGTTGAAAATGCTAGAATGCTTATAGACTTTTTGCTTCATATCTTTAATAGGAAGTAGACTTGATACGGAGTCAAGTACAGCAGCTTATCTCCCTCCCAATGTGGATGGGCTTACAGCCTGTAAGTATCTAATTTCAGAATATTATACATGTATATGTTGTAAATGAAGATGTGATAGATTGTGTACCTTTAGTATGGATATAAAAGTGTTAGCTAAAAATCCCTTTTTCTGCTTAGAAGTTACCATGCATTAACTTATGATATATGTAGTTTTTATAATTTTAAAGTTTTAATGTGTGTCCTAATACATGTTTCACCTAATTTCAATATTGTAATATAAGTTTAGTATCAATAGAGCTTATAGAGAAAGAAATTATCCCTTTATCTATTGAGCTTATAGAAAAGGGGATAATTTTAGCAATATATGGTTATTATCCTTATTATATTTCTTTGGCTAAAACTATATGCAAACTTGAATTTTTATTGTTTCCTTGATTAAAATGTACATATAGTTAAAGAAGAAGGTCTGGATCATGTGTAATAGTAATGACTTTCATTTTTTTTTTTTTACCAAATCTTTATTGTGTATATGTGCATGTATCAAATTTACATATTTTAGGGAGTAAAGTTTAAACTGTGAAATTTCAGTGTGACCCTTTATTCTTAATTGTATTTCCTACACATGACTATTTCTGTATAACCCACATGTGTGTACTCATTCACTGTACCAGTTAATGGAATAAAAATATAAGGCACATATGTCTAATTTAAGCTTATGTTAAAAAGTGGTGAATGCCATAATAGAAAATTTACTGATGGCATTTCTATTTTTACTTTTGGTAGTTGCTTTATGTTCGTTGTTTGAGACTCATATTTTTCAGTCATCTGTGATTATGCTCACAAGTGTTAATGTTGATATTTTTCAGACTGAATTGAGACAAAAAAGTTTATCATTGAGCTTAAAATCTTGACTAGAAAAGACAGTTTCTTTTTTATTAATAAGTATTAGAATTGAATTTTAGGAATTAATTATTCCTTAGTTTTCAAGGTTTATTTTGTTGCTTTTAGATTTTGTGATATTGCCCTCAGTCATGTACTAGAAAACTTGTTAATACTTAACCTTGTCTTTATCCTTTTAAATATTGAAGTTATCGATAACATAACAATAACTTTTTCAGGCACGATTGGAATTAGAATTAAAAAAAACACCTAAGCTAAGAAAATTCTGGAACTTGATTAAAAAGAATGATGAAAAGATGGATCCAGAAGCAAGAGAACAGTATGTTAACAAAGCTTCATTCCATATTAGTTTATTATGCTGGATTACAATCCTTAGTGTTATTTGTGGCTTCATTTGATATAGTGCCGTGTTCAAATAAGTTATTAATAAGTGCTTTTACTTAGACTGTGTAGAAATATTTTTTACAAAAACCTTAAAAGGAAGCCACAACATCAGCAAAGCCTCAATTTACTTTTCTTCTTTTTCTTTTCTCTGAACCAATGTGCCACTTTTCTTCTCCATTCCTGTTGTTCCCTGATCTGTCCCTCATGGATAGTTCTGTTTTCTCCACAGTCTTCAAGATGTCAACCAGTTCAACTTTTTCTTACTCCATGACTTTTTTTTTAATTAATTGTTTTTATTTATACATGACAGCAGAATGCCTTATAATTCTTATTACACATATAGAGCACAATTTTTCATATCCCTGGTTGTATGCAAAGTATACAATTTGTATCTTCATACTTTGGATAATAATGTCTGTCACATTCCACTGTCATTTCTAACCCCATGCCCCCTCCCCTCCCTTCCCTCTGCCCTATCTAGAGTTTGTCTATTCCTCCCATGCTCCCCCTCCCTATCCCAGTATGAATCAGCCTCCTTATATCTGAGAAAACATTTGGCATTTGTTTTTTTGAGATTAACTAACCTCACTTAGCATTGTCTTCTCTAACTCCATCCATTTACCTGCAAATGCCATGATTTTATTCTCTTTTATTGCTGAGTAATATTCCATTGTGTATATATGCCACATTTTTTTTTATCCATTCATCTATTGTAGGGCATCTAGGTGAATTGTGCTGCTATAAATATTGATGAGGCTGTGTCCTTGTAGTATGCTGTTTTAAGTCCTTTGGGTATAGAACAAGGAGAGGGATAGCTGGGTCAAATAGTGATTCCATTCCCAATTTTCCAAGAAATCTCCATACTGCTTTCCATATTGGCTGCACCAATTTGCAGTCCTATCAGCAGTGTGTGAGTGTACCTTTTCCCCCACATCCTCACCAACATTTATTGTTGTTTGTCTTTATAATAGCTGCCATTCTCACTGGAGAGAGATGAAATCTTAAGAGTAGTTTTGGCTTGCATTTCTCTAATTGCTGGCGATGGTGAACATTTTTCATATATTTGTTGATTAATTATATATCATCTTCTGAGAATTGTCTGTTCAGGTCCTGGGACTCTTTATTGATTGGGTAATTTGTTTTTGTGGTGCTTAACTTTTTGAGTTCTTTATGTACTCTGGAGATTAGTCCTCTGTCTGATGTGTGAGGGGTAAAGATTTTGTTCCCAAGATATAGGCTCTCTATTCATCTCACTGATTGTTTCTTTTTCTGAGAAGAAACTTTAGTTTGAGACCATCCCATTTATTTGGTTCTTGATTTTAATTCTTGTGCCAAAGGAGTCTTATTAACAAAGTTGGGGCCTAATCCCACATGATGGAGATGAGGGCTTACTTTTCCTTCTATGAGATGCAGGGTCTCTGGTTTTATTCCTATGTCCTTGATCCATTTTGAGTTAAGTTTTGTGCATGGTGACAGATAGGGGTTTAGTTTCATTTTGTTACATATGTATTTCCAGTTTTCTCAGAACCATTTATTGAAGATGCTATCTTTTCTCCAATGCATGTTTTTGGCACCTTTGTCTAATATAAGATAATTGTAATTTTGTGGGTTAGTCTCTGTGTCCTCTATTCTGTACCATTGGTCTACCAGTCTGTTTTGGTGCTGTTTTTGTTACTATTGCTCTGTAGTATAGTTTATGGTCTGGTATAGTGATGCCACCTGCTTGACTCTTCCTGCTTTGGCTATTCTTGGTCTCTTATTTTTCCAGATGAATTTCATGATTGCTTTTTCTATTTCTATGAGGAATGTCATTGGGATTTTGATTGGAATTGCATTAAGTCCATATAGTGATTTTGGTAGTCTGGTCATTTTGATAATATTAATTCTGCCTATCCAAGTGCCTATTTTGATAATATTAATTCTGCCTATCCAAGGGTTAGGCTTAGGGTCCCAGGTATGGGAGGGCTGAACTTGGACCTACCCTGCACCTGCGTCCTGCACAAGTTGGTGTGTGTGGATCTGGGCCAGGTCTGGGCTCCCATGGTAGTCTGCTGGTCGGAAGAGGCGGTCCTGTACAAGAGGCTGGGCTCCTGCGAGTGTCTGTCCTGCAGGTAAAGGGGTGGACCCCGGCCTACTATGAGCCTACTATGAGCCTATAAGGTTGGAGTGGGCAGATCTCACTCCTTGACTCTTAACAATGACTTTTCTATACCCCAACCATCATTCATTCATTCAATAAATATTGAGTGTATTGTTTTGCCAGGTATTATATGTAGCAGTGGAGATACAGCAGAGAACAAAGTAAAAAATAAGTCCTGTTTTTGTGGTGCTTATATTCTAGTTGAAAAAGACAGCAATGAACAGATAAATTATATAGTATGTTTGGTGGTAATACATGCTAAGGAAAAAATAAACCAAGTATAGGGATTAAAAGAGTAATTGACAGTGATGTTTACAGCATCCAAATCCAAAATTTTCTGATCTGTATTTTATAACAAATTAATTTTTTCCTTCATCTTTGATCAATGTATTTTCTATGTGCTATTTAGATGTTGACAACATATTTTTTTATGGTCAGTTATTTCTCCCAAGTTTCATGATTTTTATCAAATTTTACTGTGCACAGTTTCAGTCAAAATCTTTATGGGTTGTTTCTAACAGTGATGTTTATTAGCAATTGGATAAAAGTTTGTGGTGACTTATATTTATTTCGTGGAATAAAAAGCTATGAGGACACAGGGAAGGACCTCTATGATCTCCGGTTTGTTTCTGTCTTTGAAACTACCTGGTCTCTATTCCTGCCTTACTTGCCTCAGAACAGTTCTAGCTGTAGTATTTTTTCTTTCTTCATCTTCATTCACTTTTCTGCTGGCTTCTTTTTCGCTGCCTTTTATGCACATGTACACATATGTACACACGCTCAGGGTTTACTTCCCTTGGGCCTATGATAGCTTCTTTTACCTCTACCCTATTGTTTCTTCCACTCAGGATAGTGGCTTGTATTTGCCTTTTCTTTAAATCTTGTAACTCTGACTTGAATTTTGGTTCCTGTTTTGCACTACAACCTATATCTTTTTGTTTGTTTTTTAGTACTGGGAATTGAACACAGAGGCAGTAAACCACTGAGCCACTCCCCAGCCCTGTTTTATATTTATATTTTATTTAGAGAGAGGGTTAACGATCCTCCTGCCTCAGCCTCCCAGGCTGCTGGGATTACAAGCATGCACACCTGTGCATAGCATAAAATCATTCTTTTTGACCTTACCTCTATCATTTGGCATTTTGGGCAGTTTTTGTTTGTTTTGTTCTTCCCTTGATTCCTCTTTCTATTCTGTTGATAGTGATGCATTTCTTATATATCTCTCCTTCTTTAACTTCTGTAAGTTCTCTTTTTCTTCTTTGGATTTTTTTTGTTTGTTTGTTTCTTCTCTGGCTCTTGTGAACAAGATATTGACACATCCCAAGGCTTTTCTTTTATTGTCTTTTAATTCAATGCTCCTAGGCCCCAGGGGTTTGTGAGAAAACTGAGGTTTGAGAAAAATAAATAACCTGCCCCTAAAGATACAAATTGATATATCTGCTAGAATTCTAATTGGACCTATTTCCTTATGTCTAGAAAATTTTTTCCTTTGACCACTTTATAAGTAAGGAATTATAATTTTGTGATAAAACTTTTACTCTTCCATCTCTATGTGATGGAGATTCCCCAAAGGGTTTTATTGATAGAGTGCTATAATTAAACTTGAATTCTGGAGCATTCTCTCTGGAAGCAGTAGATTTTAGGTGAGCAAGATTTAACACGAAGATGGAAGGTACTTGTAATTATTGTGCAAGAGAGTCAGAAATTGGCTAATTGTGGAATTGGAGGCAAATGGAGGAAAGAAAGTTATTTAATGGGTGTTGGTAAGCTGTCAAGTGTGAAATTTTTTTCTGTATGTATGTTTTTATTTCATTTTTACAAAATTTTATTTGTTCTTTTTAGTTATACATGACAGAATGTATTTGACATATTATATATACATGGAATATAACTTCCCATTTTTGAGGTTGTACATGATGTGGAGTTACACTAGTCATTTATTCATATATGAATATAGGAAAGTTATGTCCAATGCATTCTACTGTCTTTCTCAGTCCCCTGTCCTCCCTTCCGTTCTGTCCAATCCTGTGTGCCTCCCCTTCTCCCTTCCCCTCCTGCTTATTGTGAGTTGAGTATGAAATTGACAGTAAATAAGTAGTCTTATTAAATGACTGGGAGATCATGAGATACTTGCCATGATGGGGAATGTGAAAGCAAGAGTAGTAGGACTGCTACTGGAGAAGATGGTTCCAGTTTTCCCTTTGCAAGTGGAGATTTCTAGCAGGAGATCATTGTTAGAAGAAATGTAATAAGTGCTACTTTTGTAGGTACATATGTAGATAGCTATTGAGGTCATGAGTATGAATGAGATTATTTAGTGAGGTGCATAAACCACGAGCAGAGGGTTGAAGATAAGAAAGTGCATCCTGGAGTCATGTTGGTGGTTACTGAAGAAATTGAAAAGCTGCAAGTCAGAGATAAGTTTGGGAGTAAGGGACACAAGGAAAGGTTAGAGTACGAACATCCCTATTTTAATTTTTAGCTTCAATCTCATTTCTTTCACAATAGATTTTCAGCTAGCATTTTATCATCTTGTTTGTGTGAACAAGTGATTTTTTTTTTTTTTTGGCCAAATATGACTCTTTTTGTTTGTCTTGAAAAGCCCATTTTCCATTACCTTGATGTGATTTAATCTTAAATCTCTCTGGTCCTGATTTCTTTTCTGTCCTTTAACTATACTTCTTTCATTATACTTATAAACGGATGATTGTCATGAACTCAAATTTGGCTTAACTAACTAGGAGTACTCATTGTTTTTTCCTCTTGAACTCACCTTTCTGCTCAAAACCTCTTAATTATGCTAGTCAGTTGGGCTTGGAAAACTCCAGACATCTGAATGGCTCTTTATAACTGGTCAGGCAGTACTATTAGATCCCCACTTTGTCTTTTCTTTCCTCTGTCTCTCTCTTTTTTTTTTTTTGTACCAGGGATTGAACTGAGTTGGCCACTGAGCCACATTCCTAGACTTCTTTTGCATTTTATCTAGAGATAGTCTCTCACTGAGTTGCTTAGTACCTAGCCCTTGCTGAGGCTGGTTTTAAACTCAAGGATTCTTCTGTCTCAGACTCCCAAGCCACTGGGATTACAGGCATGCGCCACTGCGCCCAGCTCCTTTTCTTTCTTGTATTCACACTGCCATCATAATTCAGGCCCTTATAGCCTCTTTAATGAACCACTACAATAAATCCCTATTTGGTCTTTCTTCCAGCTTTCCATTAACAGTATAGTTTAAGTATTCTTTTTCATAGAAAACTATATTTATTTTGCCCTACTTCTATTCACAGTGTTCAGTGATTTTCTTGTTCCCATAGGATAAACATTAAACTCATTACAGTGGCTTTATAAAACCTCTTATATTTCCTGTGGACCCCACCGCCCCATTAATGAACCAGTCTGACCAGTCTATAGTCATTGTTTCTTCAACATTCCTCCCCTGAGTCCCTTTCTCCTCTATCCACGTGATTGAATATTAGCCATCTAAACATTCTTCGCTACCACCTACTTCACACTACATGCTTTCTTCTTCTGTACTCCTATAATACTAGCAGTATGTGTGATGGTTGGAATATCTGTAGTTGAAAGTGTAGGTTCTAAAACCATATTTAAATAGATTCTGCACTCAGTTGTTATGTGACTTTGGGCAAGTTCTTCCCATCTTTGAACTTTAGTGTGAAAGACTATTGTCATTATTAAATGAGCTTTCTTTTTATTATTATTATTATTATTTATTTTTTTTTGCATTATAGTTCTTTTTTTAAAAACTTTTTTTTATTTTTTTGAAAGTAGTTGGAAACAATACCTTTATTTTTTAAAATTTATTCTTTTTTTTTTTAAAGAGAGAGTGAGAGAGGGAGAGAGAGAAAGAGAGAGAATTTTAATATTTATTTTTTAGTTATTGGCGGACACAACATCTTTGTATGTGGTGCTGAGAATCGAACCCGGGCCGCACGCATGCCAGGCGAGTGCGCTACCGCTTGAGCCACATCCCCAGCCCCTTTAATTTATTCTTATGTGGTGCTGAGGATTGAACCCAGGGCCTTGCATGTGCTAGACGAGCGCTCTACCGCTGAGCCACAATCCCAGCCCCAACATTACAATTCTTAATACATCTTTATACCACAATTTATCATTATCTCTGATTGTATATAAGGTATACTGACACCAAATTCACATCTTCATATGTGTATTTTGTATAATGATGAGGGTCTCCTTCCACCATCCATGCTATTCCCCTTCTCACTCCTTTTTCCTCCCACCCCTATTCCCTATTTAGAGGTTATCTTCCTCCCTTGCTCTCCTTCCTAACCCCATTAAATGAGCTTTCTTACATGAATTATTTAACCCAGCCCAGATCTTGGCAGAGTAAGTTCTCAGTCAATGTCAGGCAGTTTTTTAATAATTGCATTCTGACTTATGTTAGTCATTATCTTTATATATGATTTATCACTTCAAGTAGAATTTAATCATTCCCCTCCTTTGTGTTTCTAGTAGGACTGGCATAATCATTTGTTGCTATCCAATATCTGATAAATGATGAGTAATTAGTTAAATTAATAATGAATGGAAAGTATTTTTTATTGCTACATAATAATCATATACAATAGTGGGATGTGTTGTGATATATTTGTATATGCAAATGAAAGAATTTGGTCAAGAAAATTGTACTTTAAACAAACATTTAATCTTTAGCTATTGAAGTTCTCTTGTATTTAGTATTTTAAACATATTAAAGTATAAAATTGTTTATCTTGATTTAACTACATTAAACACTATTTTTTCCCTTTCTTTTTTTGGAACTGCAGATTAAACCCAGGGATACTTCATCACTGTGCTACATCCCCAGTTCTTTTTTTTTTTTTTTTTCTTTTGAGAAACAGTCTTACTAAGTATTTGAGGTTCTCCTAAGCTGATGCTGGCCTCAAACTTGTGATCCTCCTGCTTCAGCTTCCCTAAGTTGTTAGAATTACAGGCATGTGCCACCATGCCCAGCTAAATGCTAGATTTTTAATTTTAATGGCAAATTACAAAGAAAAATTTGAAATCTCCTTTGCAGTCCTGATCCTTAAATTACAAGTAAAACTTTGACTGTAAGAGGAGGTATTTTCTTAACTATTTTTTAGGCCAGGAATGAAGCTCTTCTTCTCTTCATGTAGCACTATATTTACAAAGATGACACTTTGTTCAAATTATGGTCCTAATGTCAGAGTGAAATGGAACATTTGAACAATATTTGAATATATTTATTCATCATTCAAAATTTACTTTGAAATAACTTTTTCAAAAATAATTTGGTCATGTTTGATTTTAGAGCCTATCAAGAAAGAAGATTTCTTTCACAACTCATCCAGAAGTTTATCTCTGTTCTGAAATCAGTCCCRCTGTCTGGTAACTGGCTTTTCTATTCAGCTCATTTGTAAATTTATTCTATAGACTTTCCTATGGAATTTACCTGTCTGTAGTCTAAAAATTGCTCTTAGAATGATTTCAAATTGTAACAATAAAGTATATGTCCTTTTCTTTTCTAGTATATTACAAATTGTAGCATTGACAGCCTTAAAGGTTATTTTAAAGGTACCAGCCTGGTTATTAAAATGTCATTTAGTTAGCAAACATTTTTATATTTGCTTACTAGGTTTATGTCCTGTCCTGTGTAAGGTGCTGGAATACAATAGTGAACAAGAGAGAGACTTGTTCACTTGTTGTTCATAATGGGATATTGAATAGTGTTTTTCAAGAGATATTAAATATTATTTAAAGGGAAAGAGAAGAATTACTTTTTAGATATAATCTACAAATGAAATGGGTCAAGACCATTGTGACCTATTTATTGATGAGAGTAATAAAATTACTCACTATATAGATTATACTGTATTATCTATATGTATACTATGAGTATACTGTATATACATGTGTATACTATATACACGTGTGTGTGTGTTTTTTTGGGGGGGGGCGGTATACTAGAGATTGAACTCAGGGGCACTTGACCATTGAGCCCCATCCCCATCCCTATTTTGTATTTTGTTTAGAGACAGGGTCTCACTGAGTGGCTTAGTGCCTCACTGTTGCTAAGGCTGGCTTTGAACTTATGATCCTCCTGCCTCAGCCTCCTGAGCTGCTGGGATTACAGGCATGTCCACACTGTACCCCACTTACATATGTATTTATATACCTGTATGCCAAGGGGAGTCAATTCAATATATGAGGTTGTTAAGATCTTGATAAGCATTTAATGAGTACAAATAGATTTTTACTTAATAAAGGTATATATGCTGTATAAGATGTCATCATTTAATATTTTATTTCTTAAGTGAAATATAATCTCTAAGAACAGATTTATAGTTGTATCATGTTTATATTTTCGTATAGCTTTGTTTAAAATGCAATAGAAATACTTATTTAATGCTGATTTTCCAGGTAATATTTAACAACTGAATATTTTAACTAAAATTCAGTCAGGATTAGATATCAAATAGTATAAATCACCTGTACCCCATTTGGAGCATAATACTGCTAACAAACAATATAAATTATCATATGCTTATAATCTAAGTTGTTTAATATTAGTATATTTAAATCTTTTTGTTAAGTGCCTTAAACCTCAAATGAGGATGAAGATTGGAGTTTCTTGGCACAAACAGTAACAATATATGCTTTGAACTATTAATGTCTCCAATAATCAGGGTCATAAAATTTATTTCTCTAATTGTGGAATGTTAATACAGAGTCATCTAGGTTTAAAAATCAATTAACAAAATTTCTTAGGTGATTGTTCTGTTTTTCTTTTTTTGGTACTGGGGTTTGAACCCAAAGTTGATTTACCACTGAGCTATAGCCTCAGCTCTTTTTATTTTTTAGTTTGAGATAGGGTCTTACTGAGTTGCTAAGACTGGTCTCCAACTTGTGGTCCTCCCACCTCAGCTTCCCAAGTTGCTGGGATTATAGGCATGCACCACCACACCTAGCCTTCTTAGATTTATCTTAAAACTTTAATCAAAAATTGTTGCTGGGCACAGTGGTGCATGCCTGTAATCCCAGTGATTTATCAGACTGAGGCAAGAGGATTGAGAGTTTGAACCCAGCTTCAGCAACTTAGTGTAGTTCTAAGCGACTCAGCAAGACCCTGTCTCTAATAAGATATAAAAAAGGGCTGGGGGTGTGGCTTGGTGGTTAAGCGTCCCTGGGCACATGTATTTTTGCTGGCAAAGGAATCAATAAGATGGTGAAAATAATGTGCCAGTTCAAAGAGGCATGTATGAAGATGAATGGAAGAGTTAGGAAACAGAAAGCTTATTTTTAAAAGAATGAGAAGGATTGTTGTTTCATTTTATAGGTTCATTAAAAAAAACACTCATTAGTTGTAATAAGCAATCTGTGTAGGATTCTCTAACATGTCAAAACTGCTATCAGAGGAAGGAAAAGAAAGATTGCAGTATACTTGACACAAATGATAAGAATGTGTTTGTCTCAAATTGGAACAACAAAGTTTTTACTCTTGTGTTCCTCTGACCATCAGAGCATAGAACTTAATGACACCAAGCTTTGTTATCTAATATTAACCAGGCCATTGCCAGTCATTTTTCCAAAGGTTCAGAATGCAGAATTTGCTAACTTTTTAAGTTTTAGAAGAAATATTTTTCCTTTGACAATTATAAGAATGAAAGCAATGGAGGCCTAGTTTGAATGAATTTAATTTAAAAATTGCTCCTTTTGGGGGTGGTATTAGGGATTAAACCCAGGGACACTTAACCTCTTGAGCCACATCCTCAGTCTTTTTAAATATTTTATTTAGAGACAGGGTCACGCTAAGTTGCTTAGGGTCTCACTAAATTGCTGAGGCTGCCCTTGAACTCAAAATTCTCCTGCCTCAGCCTTCTGAGCCTCTGGAATTATAGGCCTCTGCCATTAAGCTTGGCTCCTTTTAATTCTTTAAACAGCTGTATGACTTGCACTAAGTTCTGAAAACCTGGCTTCCAGTTCTGCATCTTCATCAAGTCATTTCTTTTGGGGTCCTCAATTTAACAATTAGAAAATGAATATCTAGAATAGATATTTTCTGCCCCACCCCCCATTTTAAAAATTGGTACATTATAGTTGTACATAATTGAATAGATGTTTTTTAAGGTCTTTTCCAGCTATTGAATTTTATTTTTCTGTTACTGCAGGGTCTGGATTATGGGCATATTTTAACTGAAAATTTATAGGGAAAATTCCAGTTAACATTTCTGTGTATAAGTCACAAAAGTATTTACATTTCTTCACATAAAGCCTTCCATTTTCCATTCCACTAGAAGTAAATAAAATGAATGTATTTTTTAAAATGTTTATAGGATATCTTTTACAACTCTGCCACTTGAGTTGTCTCTGGACATCAGAGACCTGAAAGTTATCTGATTTCACAATGCAACCAACTTAACAGGATGGTTTTAGCTAATAAATGATAGATCATTTCCTAGAATTAATAAAAATCTTATGCTCTGAAAGTATTTTATATTTTGTGTCACAAAATATTTTAATTACTTTAAAACAAAAAATAATGATTTTTAAATGGTGCATTATGTCATGAATAGCATAAAATAAAATTGTGATTTTAAAATATTTCATTGCTTTGTGTCATTGGTATTTTAATATCAAAAGTAATACGGTAGGAAAAGATAACATAAATTACTATATACTGCTCATTTTCTATGTATTTTAAAGATGTGTACATATATACATGTGTACATACATATTCTGTGTATATCTACATAAACATGTATTTGTATATATGAAAAGGAAAGTAGAGCAAATTCTGATATAAAACTACTTTTTGGAAGTTTTTCAAAATCTAGTCACAAAGTATGGGTTTTAAAAGTTAGCACTTTAAAAAATATCTTTTTGCACATGTGACACAAGGTCATGTTCGTAGAGCAAAATAGCAGCTAAATATCAGCCTGCCTTTTAAAAAATATACAGGATATTCTTACTCAAAATCATAGTTATTGTGAATAAGAGGTAAATGATTTTGCTTATATTATTAAATTTTAAGAAGTAGCTCACAGATAGTCTAGTAAAATTCTAACATGTTTCTCTTATGTCTAGAACCTGTCACTATGGACAAAGTTCATTATTGTGAAAGATTTATTGAACTTGTGATAGATCTAGAGGTAAGAAATATAGAATGACTTGTTAGGCATTTATTAAGAGTCTAAGCTTAAGCATATGACTGCATGTGATATATTTCTTTATCACCTCTAACTGTCCTTATTTGAACTTTATGTCAAGGTGTCACATACTGACAAGTTGTTGTACTTTTAGGTTTTGAGATGACTGTCCCATTTGACATGGGCAACTATTTATTGTCAACTTTTTAAATAAAATTTTTTTAAAAAAATTTTTAGACATTGATGGACTTTTATTTTATTCATATGTTTGCATGTGGTGCTGAGAATGGAACCCAGTGCCTCACACATGGTAGGCAAGTGCTCTACCACTGAGCCACAACCCTAGCCCCTAAATTAAAATTTTTAAAGGATAAGATTCCATAACACTATGTGCAGAATGTTGGTAGGAATTTCAGATAAAGATAAAAAGTGATATATTTCAAATTAAATCCATTTTCTTTCCCTTATAAAGTGGGAAGTTGAAGAAAGATCTTTTTGTGCCTTATTTTGAATGATTATTAGAATATTGGACTAGCAGTCATTCTATAAGTCTTCATTTATATTCTAGCTGTGTCAGTAACAAATTTATTTCCTTTTGGTATTTAGGAGCTCAACTTCATCTGTTAAATGTGTTATGATTAGATAATGGTTTTCAAACTGTCATGGTCCCATAGTTTCTCATCATCACCTTTCTGACTATCATGGGGGAATGTGGGGAGAGGAAAGGGAAACAGGGGTCTTCATTTAGGGAGACTTTTCCTTTTTCTTCAAAACAGCTCCATTTTTAAACATACACAATTTATACTGGGTTTTAAACTTAATTGCAAATTCACACTGAAATTGCATGTAGGATTTTGTTGGAAAACTATTTGTTGAGATGACTTGTGAAAATTCTTTTTGTTAGATATTATTTTTAATTTTCTCTTTAAAGTTCTGTTATCATTGTTATTAACTAAAAACACTGCCACTGAGTTTATTGACAGCATGATCCATGCCCCTTGCTATGTGCACAGTATGTCTTTGTGGAGGCTGGAGGGTACTTTGTGATGAGTACTTCTGAGTTAAATATAGTAGACTTTACCTTTATACTATCTGCAGAGAATACATGCAGAATTATTGCTGTGATGTTTATTTTTCCTAGGCCCTGCTCCCTACAAGGCGCTGGTTTAATACCATTTTAGATGACTCTCATCTTTTGGTTCACTGTTACCTTTCCAATCTTGTTCATAGGGAAGAGGATGGTCATCTTTTTTCTCAGGTGAGCACTGATATACCTAAACACACTTAACCATTTTAATTTCTAGGTTCATCTTTGCCAACTGGAAGTACGAGCATATGAGAAAAAGTAAATTCCTGGAAGGATGATAAAATGAGATAGACATTATTGCTCTCTATATATGTATGATTACACTACTGAAGGGACTGTACACCATGTATAGCCAGAGGAATGAGAATTTGTGTGCCATTTGTGTATAATATGATAAAATGCATTCTGCTATTATGTATAACTAATTAGAACAAATAAAAAAAGTAAATTCTTCTAAATATTGAATTATATAAAATTCTAAATAATCATTTTAAAGTCAGGTCTTAATATGTAAAATTAATGCACTCTTACATAGGTGGCCTTTAATAAGTATATATTCTAACTATGTTATTTATGTATGACTTTATTATTGGACTAAATTGTGATTTGGGTGATGTAGTTCCACATGTTCACATATTTTGATTTTATGTGAATAACCACTGTGGAATATAGTCAGTGATGAGCGTTAGTTTCAAGTAAACTGTGCCCAATACCATGGCTCTGTCTTTCCACATGATGGTGGTGACAGGCAATTGATAGCATGGAAATGTATGTACACTTATCCTGCTACCTTGGGTTGGAAGGTAAATGCGCTTTAAGGAAGGCAAAAATATTAATATTTCCTGTTTTTTGTAGCATCATATAGAAGAAAACATAACAAACTTGTAATTCTTTCTTTTCTTTTTTTTTTTAGTACTGGGAATTGATCTCAGAGGCACTTAACCACTGAGCCACATCCCCAGCCCTATTTTGTATTTTATTTAGAGACAGGGTCTCACTGAGTTGTTTAGTGCCTCACTGTTGCTGAGGCTGACTTTGAACTTGTGATCCTCCTGCCTCAGCCTCCCAAGCTGCTACAATTACAAGCATGCACCACCATGCCTGGCAGTTATTATCTTTGAATGATATCATAATGGGAGATACAGTTTTTGTGTGCATTACATATTATTTTATCTCATGTCTATAAGCATTTCTTTTTCTCATTCTCTTTTATAAATTTTTGTCCAGTGAGTTGTATGTGTCTTGAAATCTTAATATCTAATCTGCTATGGATTTGAAGTAAAATAATTCAGGTTTGAGGTGAATATAATTAGTAAACTCTTTTCTTGCTGCTGCTACATGGGGAAAGCAGACTCTCTTTTTAAACACTATATTTTTTCTTTCTACTGGCTCTTTTTAGTTAAACATAATATTAGGATTCATTTTGACAAATTATTAAAATATAGAATATAATTTGTTCTAATTCAGTCCCTAGTGTATACTCCCTTTCTCTTCCCTCTCCTTCTTCCCTTCCCTCTACTGATCTTTCTGCTATCTATCTATCTATCTATCTATCTATCTATATATAT